GTGTGTGTGTGTGTGTGTGTGTGTATACACATATATATAAAATGTGTGTATGTATGTAGAACAGTTACTCTTGAAATAAATGCATTATCAATGAAGATCACTTTTTCTCCCGTCAGGGCAGAGCAAAGGAGGCGAGATGGGCAGGACAGATGGCAGCTCAGCAGAATCCCCCAGTGCCGCGTCAGCTGCCTCTTCCAGCCAGACCCTGCCCAGTTTCTGGATTCCCTCTCTGACACCTGAGTTCAAGCCCACCCTGCTCAAAAAACCAGTGAGTGTCTTCTTCTGCGTCAGTATGTCAGGTCGGGGCAGTGCTTTGACAAACATTTCTGTACGCTGGTTTACTATCAGTAATTTTAACATCTCAGTATTCACAGAAGCTGATTGAATTCATAGAAAATACTGTAACAGAGCACTGATAAGTCTTTAGTTGCAGGTTGGTGATGCCTTCTGTCAGGAAGTTTAGCCCCTTTTTAGATATACGCCCCTTTTTGTTCATCCTATTGCAGTTTAACATGTTGGCTCCATGTTTGAATAAGCACCCTGTTCACTTGTGTGTAAAAGTCAAAGTGGTGATCGTACTAGGACCTGAAACATTTCTGCATCACTTTAAATATGACACATGTATGAAAACCTTCTAAGATAACTGTAACTAAATTATTATCTCAATCGCCATCTTTTATAAACAAAGAAAATCAGATATGTCTAATAAATTTCTACGAAAGGGCAAATTTGAAGTTGTTGAGGAGACTCTTCCTCAGCCAAAGAGGGCAAATGGGCTGCTGCTTGGTCAACTTAAGCATGTACATTTGCATGTCCCTGGCAGGAGGCAAAACTGAAGCACATCATTTACACAGATAGAATGAAACAACACATTGTAGGAGAGAGAGAGAGACACAAGGATAGGCTGACTCTCCTGGAGGACAGAGATCCAGATCCAAGACATCTGTAATGAAACACCAATAGCCAGGAGAGAAACAGAAAAGGAGAAAGAGAGAAAAGGTCCCAGGACGCCTGACAGATAATTAAAGAATAAGAATTTAATTAAAGGATATCTTCGGTATTTTTCAACCTGGGCTCTATTTCCCCATGTGTATTTGTGCGTATGATTCATGGGTACAACTCGTTCTAAAATTGGTTCAGTATTGAGGGAGGCGGATGCAGCCAGGAGCCGCGAAATGAGCTAAAACGGTAACGGGGGCAAATGCATCCCGTTTAAGTTTGCGCATTAAAAGTGCTTTTTTTCGCCACTGACCGGTTCAGATCGCCAGTGCTATCTCTGTAATTAGCATATTGTAGCGACCCTGGGGCAGTGGCGAGCGTGGTATGAGTGGAGTCAGCTGTCAGTCAGTGTTGGAGCAGAGAGGGGGAGGGCTGCCCCGCTGGGTACTGTAAGTGAGTATGTGTGTATGAAGTGTATGAGTTACGCTAGAAGAGTCAGAGTTTGGGACGGAGTCTTTTACGTGCTACCCCCTGGAGTGTTACCGGAGTTTGTGGAGCACTCAAATAAACGGGCCTTTTTCCCGAACGCAAGAAAAGGATGTTGCGCAACACCCCGTACAGCTTTCATAGGCTGCCTTTGTCGGACGGCGAGACGCTGAAGTTGTGGCTAGTTGTGCTACAAATGGATGCTAACACTCCTGTCCAGACACTGCGCCTTGCAGACCATCGGGTCTGCAGTGCTCACTCCTCCCAAGATGACTACTGCCAGCCGAAGAAGAGAAGACATCCAATCCCGAAACACCTCTTCCTCAAGAAAAACGGCTGTCCTATGAGTAGAGAGAGCTAACGTTACAGACACAGTGGAGCGAAGCTCGTGACATCACACAGCAGAGGTAAGGGGAAGGCTAGTTTGCTATTTACAGAGATAACACTGGCGATCTGAACCGGTCAGTGGCGAAAAAAAGCACTTTTGATGCGCAAACTTATATGGGACGCATTTGCCCCCGTTACCATTTTAGCTCGTTTTGCGGCTCCTGGCTGCATCCGCCTCCCTCAATACTGAACCAATTTTAGAACGAGTTGTACCTATGAATCATACTTACATATGGAGAAATAGGGCCCAGGTTGAAAAATACCGAAGTTATCCTTTAAGAGTTAAGGTCCAGTGTGTAGGATGTAGGGGGGTATATGTATAAAATTTCCAGTTCGGGGCTACAGTGCTCCTACTAAAAAAAAATTTGTCTGTAGCCCTGTTAACCTCTCACCCAAGAGGCTTCTCAAGTTCTTACTGACTGGTGGGAAGTCGCAGGCTTGAAACCCTGTGTGGGTGTGAACCCTTAAAGAGTCGTTGAGGTCACATGTGAGTTGTTGCCCCACCCGGCCATCATGTGAGTCGTTGGGGTTAGATGGGTCCAGGTGTGAATGGGTGTTAAGCTGTCTGGGGAGGAAACTCAAGACTGCATTGTAGGTGGGAGATAATTGGTGTTGTAGGCCACCTCCTCTGTTTAACGCTGGTTGTTCCAGTTTGATGTAGATGGCTTCTTTCACTCCTTCTTTCAAATCATCAGTCTTCTCTGGCCAAGATGTGTGCACTGCTGTCCTTGAAGGAAATGTCCCTTCTCCTTCAGATGGACACTTTTTTATGTGAATCTGCTTTATTCAGTGTTTTTATTGGTTTAATCACCTCGTCCGTTTGTTTTGGAGAGGTGACCTCTGTGGATAGTTCAGCACTCAGTAAAAACCTCCTGAAGGTCAGGATATGAAGTTACCAGAAAAAAAATTGAGCGCACATTGGCATGTGGTGGGGGAGGCACCTGTCTCCAACATGCCAAACAGCATCAGAGAAACACTGATTTCTAACATGAAGCTGCTTTATTTAGTGTTTTTACCAGTTAAATTCACCTGGTCCGTTTGTTTTGGAGAGGAAGAGACCTCTGTGGATAATTTTGCTCCTGGTAAAAACCTCCTGAACAACGAACACTTAAGAAATTCTAACCACAGGAAGTTTCATCCGGTTGCAGTCTGGGAGTTATGGAGAAAATCCAATATCACAATATTTTTGACTACATGATACATGACCACATGATATCGATACTGCAGCAGTCTAGTAGGGTTTACTATTGGTGCTTTCACAAAATATTAAAACAATGATATTTTGATAAATAATCATCAGTAATATGGACATAATGACTAAGTGGTTAAAGGCAAGTAATAGAACAGCAACAACGGTCTGGTAGGTCCAGAAAATGATACCTCTTTACTGTAATGTAGCCTCCAGACATTACATCCTCTCTCCCTGTCTGCCAAGCCCTTAGGTAATGTTACCCCAATGAGGAGTGACTGAATGAGAATATAACAATGTTGTAGATACTAATGTGAATGGTATAATAAAAGTTTAAGTAATATTATGTATTATGTATTATAAACCACTACAGCAGCATTCAAGAATTTGTTCAGCTCCATGTCTAAACTTGTTTATGTCCTTTCACTGTGTGTGTGGTTGAGTTGTTGCCAGGCTTACCTGTTGGCTTTACATGCTGATGTCATGATACGCTCTTTCTGTTTATTTTGTTTATCAGCCTGTTAAATTTTGACACTGTTTGAAGGCAGGCTGACCCTTGATCGCTGACTATCATGAAGCAGTCGCAGCTTTCCACTGCTCAGCTGAGGTAATGCTGTGTGAAATGGATTGCAGACGTCACTTTTTTTAATCACTCCCCTCTTCTGTCCTCCCCTCCTGTCTGTCAGAGTAAGACTGTGTTATGTCCCATGTCAGGACGACCCATTAAGATGAATGAGCTTATCACAGTGCGGTTTACCCTGTTGGACTCCAGCCTGGATCGAGTGGCCTTGCTCACCCGCCAGGTCAGTTTACCTCAGCACCTTGTCGTCCTCCATTGTACAGTCTGTTCAGTGTTTACAGCTACAATCCTATCTCATGCACCAATGGCACCCAGGCTTCATGACTGTGAGCATCCTTGTTTAACAAATCATTATAAAAATCATTGTTGAGATAACTTGTTAAACTAACTTAACCAAACATTACTGCTAATATACATTTAGCAACACTAATGGTGAAACCCACTTGATGATGATTTTTGCAAAACTTAAATCAGGTTATTTACCTTGAAACTTGAAACAAAAAGCAGAGTCAGTCAGAGTTCAAATAATTTGGTCCCACTGATAAAAGTATGTTCAGTGAGATTGCAGTTTAATCATACAGAGTTACTAGATCAACTTCACTGTGACATCATAATGTTCTGCAAAAACACTTTTCTGGCCATTACTCAATGTCATAGGTCAGGATCAGAAGGGCAGACATTTGGTCAGATATTTAATTGGTGACACTAATCTTGGGTGTCCACCTTGAAACACTGTTGATTGTATAGATCCTCTGTGCTGCTGGGGGGAAGATGTGTGTGAAACATCTATGTTTTACAGTTTGTAGCTTCTTTGCAGTAACATCCATTTTTGAAGCATTGTTTACTGTCATGGCTACTTGTGAGTCTGGATAGACGTGGATGTAAACTAACTGCTACTTGACTGGTTCATGGAGACATTCTACTGTAGGGCAGTAATTCTAGTTTATCTTTCAGGTTCTGTTGTCACACATCTGCCTGAATAGAAAAAACTTGATTGATAATTGTCAGTGGTATACCAGAGTCCTACTGCCAGCCTTGCAGGGAGCATTTCTAAACAGATCCCTGTTTTATACTTGAACTGAAACCAGTTTAGTGTCTTGTCTCTGAGAATGCAACCATGTCTTACCAGATGATGTTACTCACAAGTGCGTTGTTTGACCACAAAATGGGAAGAAAAGATATACTGTAAAAGTGATGCAGAAGGTGAAATCCAGTTTGAAATGTAATTATTTTCAAATATGCCTGTACTAATGTAGGTATGGCCTCAAAGTGTGTTTTCTACAGCACATTCCAGTGATGTAAGGATACGTCTGGTGTTGTTACATATTTTTGTTACCCTCAACAAGTCTCACGAAGCAGCAAATCAGCTTCTTTCTCACATTTAGGAAAGTATGACATCACGCTCAAACCTTATCTTATGTGATGTGAACAGAGTATTTCCTCTACATTGTCAGTAGAATAGTATAATCCTGTCTTGTCTCTACAGGACAGGTATGTATGTGCAGTAACCAGAGATGTCCTCGGCAACAGTGTCCCCTGTGCCGTTCTGCGCCCCTCGTGAGTGTCAACACGTCTCCCTCCACTCTGACATCCACATGTTGAGTGTTCTCTTTCAGGGGATCACTGACACACACTCTTTGTGTTCAGGGGTGCTGTGGTCACTCAGGAGTGTGTGGAGAAGCTGATCAAGAAGGACATGATTGATCCTGTGACTGGAGACAAACTGACTGACAAAGACATCATACCACTGCAGAGGGTATGTATGCACGTCTGTGTAGAGGTAGAGGTGGTGGTGGTGGTGGTGGTAACTGTTCCATGAATTCCAAAAATGGTTTTAATAATCCAATCCAGGGGTCAGGAGACTGACACGATTTTTACGGTGCCTTTAGACAGCAAGTGGTTGCTGCTCAGTTATCTCTGCTGTAGACACAATAGCAGCAGCAAGGCCCGCATGCACAGAATCCCTTCATTTGTTAACACAAGGCTTCTTATTGTGAAATACTAAGGTGACTATGTCATTGACCATGGGGTGGCTTGCACGGCTCCATAAATTAGTGTAGTACCTGTTGTTGTTTTTTTTTTTGTGATCAACTTGTTATTGCCTTTTGTTACATGGAATAGTTGTACATAGAATACGGTTAGTAGCAACAAGACAAACAAAACAAATAACTTTATACAGATCACCATTGCCTTAGAAAATGAAATTAGACAAAAAAAATAGAAATAAAAGTACATTGAGTAATAAATAATAACGCCAAACACAAAAGACAAAACAAAGGTTTAGACAAACACTATACTAAAACTATACCAAAGATCAACTTTCATGTGACAGAGTGGGCAGACTGTGTGTGTAGGCTTTCTTATACTATTAAGTTCTTTAATCAGTTATAGTTATGCAAGAAAATGTGGATCTCAAAGAGACCCAATAAGGGCAACCCAAGCCTCCACAGAGGATGCCCGGGCCTTATGAATTACGGCCAGTGATCTTTCTATGACAGTGATATCCCTGAAATGATTCATCCATTCTTTAATCAACGGAGACTCAGGAGAAAACCGTAAGTGAATTATTGTCTTCTTGGCAGCAGTTAAACCTGCAAATATGATCTTCCTAAGGGCTAACCTGATGTTTTCACTTAGGGCAGAATCATCATTGAATAGTAACAAAGTAGGCTGTTTAGGAATTGGAAATTTCAAATTTTTTTCGGATACTTTGCCACCGTACTCCAAAAATCAGAGACTGAGGGGCATTCCCAAAAAACATGAAGGTATGTACCTGCAGTATTCTGGCTACATTTAGTGCAGTTTGAACTGTCTATACTTTTCATTTTAAAACATCTGTAGGGTGTGGCATAAAATTGGTGCACAAACTTAAAGTGTATGTTGATTTGCTGGATTTTTGGATGAAATAAATATATTTGACAGATTTTGTCCCAGTCACATTCAAAGCCCTGTCCCTCCAAGTCAAGATTCCAGGACTCAGTCACCCCGAGAGTTTGGGCATTTTGTGTGGCCAGGTGATTATAAATGTTGGATGCTATCAATCAATCAATCAATTTTATTTATAAAGCCCAATATCACAAATCACAATTTACCTCACAGGGCTTTACAGCATACTACATCCCTCTGTCCTTTGTAGGGATGGGAATTGATAGGATTTTATCGATATCAGTGCCATTATCGATTCTGCTTATCGATCCGATTCTTTATCGATTCCTCCTGTGAATTAATGATATCATCTCCTGTTGTTTGTAACCCACACCTCCTCCCGCATAGAAATGTTTGGACGCCGTCTAACTGTTAACCGCACAAAAAACTAACGGCAGCTTTCACAGTCATAAGCCAGCATTGGCATACAGTTATCTGTGTCACAACAGCCACAATGAGTTGTCATTAATGTTACTCCTAGCTGGTGATATAGAGATAAATCCCAGCCCACAGCCTGAGTGTTTCAACACCACGCAGCTAGTGCAGCTAACTCAAGTGAGGCAGCTAACACAGCTAGCCCTGCATATTATAACAACAAATAGCTTGCAAATCAACTCAACTGCCCTCATCTTACCATCCTTGGTGTTCCCATGAAATCCGACAACAGGAGCGGGGACGCGCCAAAGCTCCACAGCGGGCTAGCAGCTCCAGTGAGGCTAACAACAACAGCGCCCCGCCGTCCACCTGGAGCTGGGATACGCCAAAGCTCCACAGCGGGCTAGCAGCTCCAGGGAGGCTAACAACAACAGCGCCCCGCCGTCCACCTGGAGCTGGGATACGCCGAAGCTCCACAGCGGGCTAGCAGCTCCAGGGAGGCTAACAACAACAGCGCCCCGCCCGCCGTCCACCTGGAGCTGGGATGCGCCGAAGCTCCACAGTGGGCTAGCAGCTCCAGTGAGGCAAATAACAACAGTGCCCCGCCCGCCGTCCACCTGGAGCTGGGATGCGCCGAAGCTCCACAGTGGGCTAGCAGCTCCAGGGAGGCTAACAACAACAGCGCCCCGCCCGCTGTCCATCTGGAGCGGGGATGCGCCAAAGCTCCACAGCGGGCTAGCAGCTCCAGGGAGGCTAACAACAGCATGAAGTGAAGCCACAGCTTTGACCGCTTCTGTCTCTCCGCCATTACGTCTTCTTTGTTGTTGAACATGCTGCTGACTGACGAGCATAGATTCGGCGTAATGAAAAGAATCGATAAGGGAATCGTTAAGCATAAAGGCTCATGATGTCGATGAATTGACCCAGTTGGAACCGGTTCTTAACAGGAACCGGTTCTCGATTCCTATCCCTAGTCCTTTGGACCCTTGCAGCAGATAAGGAAAAACTCACCAAAAAAAAACTTTAACGGGATAGCATAGGATGATCTAGGCTCAACCCAAGTGTTTAATGGATGAGAGGGTAGAGGGGAGTCCCAGGGGACTTCATGGGCACGAATTGCTGATCTCAATTGGAGGTAGAGGAACCAAGAAAATCCAGCAAGAGAATACCTCTCTTTAAGCCTTTGAAATGAAAGCAGTCCATTTCTATCATACATATCTTGAAGACTATGCATTCTTCCAGAAGACCACTTATCATTGAAATAAGGGGCAGCGCCCTGCAGTAAATTATAGTTAAAGGAGCTATATGTAAGAAATCTAAAGCAAATAGTCGTAAATTCATCCTAATATGTCACAGAGACTAAGGAATAATGTTAATATAACATACTCATCTCACCGACAACAATAGTACAGCCAGAATATTCGCATTTTAAAAAAAATTTTACGGTCCGCAAATCATGTTTATGTTTTGAATTTGTGTTTTGGCCTGTTGCGCCACCCACCGCCGTCTACCAGTCACACAGTCAGTAGAGTCTCAGCATCAGTTACAGTTACGACTGAGCTACAATGGCTGATGGTGTGACTAAACCCAAACGACCTCGTTATGATTCCCAAAAACGCCAAGACAAAACTTGAGGCAAAGCGAGGGTCTATATAGGAGATGCTTTTGAACAGTGGAGACAGCACTAACTAGCATCATAGCTAGACGGGGATGGACATTTCGAATACTTTCAACTGTTATTCATTTTCAATCATACATTGTAGCCCATGTGCAGGTGGGTCATCGACCCGACTGATTTTTTTGGGAGAAACAAACGTTAGCAGCACGGCAAGCAGCATTAGCAGTGTCCCGGTACATAGCATTATCAGCCGGCTCCTCCTCCGCTGTATTGCAGCAGCAGCGTTAGCAGCAGAGAAGCCGGACTTGCTCGAACGGTCCGCTGGAAAACCGAAGATCAAGGATGCGCGACGCGGCCCTGCCACAGCAGCCGCCCGTGGGCAAACAAATCAGTCTCCAGCGTGCCGCTGTCCAGCAACCTTGAATCTGTAGGGGAGGGGGGGTGGACACGTCTCGCGGCAGTATTTTGAATTTGAGTGCAGCAACCACATTGGCCACATTCTTACGTACGGCGCCTTTAAACCAAACTGGGGAATGATTGCAAAGTTTGACGTTACAACCCATGTGGTTCTGGACATCAGACCAGATTTGTAATAGATTGCTAATAACTTGTCCAAACATTCTACGTGCTCACCCAGGCTTCACTCCGCAGAACAGTACATCTTCCAGCCTGTGTGGTTTTACTAGTTCCTGTTTTATCTGATGCCATGGTGTAGCTGCTTCTTTGTCACGCCAAGTTGCCAAAGTCTTTATATGAAAAGACCAGTAATACAGCTTGAAATCAGATACAGCCAGACCTCCTGAGGACTTTGAGCGCTGAGGTATGTGAAACCGAATGCAAGGTCTTTTGCCATTCCAAATGAATTTACCGATCAGGAGATGTAATTCATCAAATATTTAGCTGGTGGGGGAACAGGGATCATAGAAAAAAAATAAAGTTTAGTTGTCCAAGGACATTCATTTTTACTATTGAGACTCTGCCTTGCAATGACATTTTAAGATTGGACCACCTCTGGATATCAGATGAGATTTCGAGTTTAATCTTATTATAATTAGTATGCGAGATATCAGAGAATTTGGTTATGATCAATCCTAAGTATGTAAAAGAGGTGTGCCACTGAATATGCGGAATAGCTGGTAATGTAAGCTGTTTTGCTGCATTATTTAGGGGAACTAGAAGGGATTTATCCCAATTGATTTTATAACCAGAAAATTGACTGAACCGGGTAAAGACTTGAATTATTTGAGGTAAGGAACTAGCGATGTTCATGAAATACAGTAATACATCATATGCGTACAGCAAAATTTTATGTTCTGTAGCTTTAATACAGATAGGTGAGATACCGTGATTTAGTCTAATTGCTTGTGCCAGTGGTTCCAACGACAGTGCAAAAAGCAGCAGAGGCAGTGGGCAGCCTTGACGAGTGCCACGCTTTAGACAACACATTACCTGTTTGTACAACTGCATAGGGATTAGAAAAAAGTGTTTTAGCCATCAGTATAAAATTGCTTCCAAATCCAAATTTCTCCAGAACTGCCCATAGGTATTCCCAGCCCACCCTATCAAAGGGTTTTTTGTGCATCCAAACTGAATACAGCTGCTGGTTCCTCAGCTGATTCAGATGCATGCATAATATGGAAAGGTGTCTGATATTGTCCAATGCCAGCCTCCCCTTTAGAAAACCTGTTTGGTCATGATGAATTAGCTTGCCCACTAATCTCTCTAGTCTTCTAACTAAAACTTTAGCAAAGAGTTTTAGTTCTGTTGTAATTAGAGATATTGGCCTATAGCTGCCACATCTCAGAGGAGGTTTACATTTTTTAAGCAGTACCGATATG